TGTCTGTCATATCAACACACTGCCCCGAGTGATGTTTTCAGAGAACAGCAGTACTTCAGCTCCTACAAGAGTGTGCTCTCCCTCCTGATAGCACTGCAGGGCACATAGCAAGATGGCATGGCCACCTGGGAAGTGAACAGATGTGACACCACAGACACCACACAAATCAGCTGTTTCACTATGGTTATGGGACTATCCACATTAGTAATCCTTGTCCAACTTTGAAGGTTCAAGTACAAATAAAAAACAACTCCCAAACATGCACACGCACAAAAAAGTCCTTTGAAATGCTTGATTTCTTTTCGATGCATGAGGAATATTTAAGTAAGTTACACCCCAATGCAATACTAACCAAGCACACAGATGTTTACATTTGGAACACACACAAGTGTTCCCATCAGAGATATCTGCTATAGTATTTAACCTACTGGCACAAACAGGTAGATCATCAGTAGATGGTGACAGGTCATGTTAAAGGTTAACATGTTAGTCATAAATCCTGGTACCAAGGTGAAGAGCTATAAGGAGAAACATGCTCTTTATATTTACGTAAATATATGATTCTGAAAAACACTGGAAGAGTTACATACCCTATAAAGACTACAGAATAAATTATTTGGGTAAAACAAAAGGTGAATCTGAGCATGTGTTAATAAAGCAAAACATAGCAAAATGACATGAAATGAACAGATAAAAACATATGCAATGAGTATGAATGGTTATATTTCAAATAGTACATTTTTAAAAACCGAGGAACAAATAGGAATAATGCTTCAGAGCAGGTATTCTGCTTCTACAAAGCTCTGTAGAACTGCATGTTCACAGGATTTCAAAAATGCATTAAAATATCAGTAAAAACTAAGTAAACCGATAGTGGGCTAATGCTTACTTAGCTCTTGTAAATGGAAAACATAACATTCAAGGGCAGCGTGGAGACCCTGTATTGACTGAGGAGTATAATCTATGCTGTGGAAGTACTTAAACACCACACGGTTATCTTTAGCCTGACTGCATAGTTTAAAATCAAAGGTAGTCTGCCAGAAAGTAAAATGGGAAACTAAGTAACAAGAATTGACAATCCAATAGGGAAAAGTACTTCAAGGTGCTGACAGAAAAACAATCACATGACTTCTAACCAGAAGGCACCTAACTGATTTATGTGTACCCATACAATAGTTACTTTGCTAGACTTCTGACTTTAAAGTCTAAATATCTACAAGAAAATATCTACTAAACTACATTACTTTCAAGAGTATGTCCAGATGACCTGTGTAGATACATTTGGGAGAAGCTGCCAGGAACCAGTCATCCAGAAGCACAGAAAGGCTCTGCTCTGTTTTTTCACAGGCATTCTGAAGAAGATAAACCTCTCCAGTTAACTCCAGAAGTGTTTAGAGTTCCTGAGAGAAACATCCACACAGAGACTAGTTTTACATCTTTGTCATTCTATAACACGGCTTTGCAAAAAGAAATGCATCAACGCCCTAAGGGAAGAAAAGTAGTTATTAAACCTCCATCAGTTGCTGTTTGTTTTTTTTTTAAGTACTCCTGGTTACAGGACAAAGGAACCTGCCCAGCTCCTTGTGAACAACTGGAAATGCTCCCTGGATTTTACCCACAAAAATATGAAAGCTGAGATACATTAATTTCTGAGAATGAATGCAAGGCAGTGGCTAGGCTTGTCATTGTAGCAAATGCAGTTACGTAAAACAATCTGAGAAAAAGACAGAGAAGAAAGTATCCATATTAAATCATAGCTCTAAGAAGGCTATGTTTATCTCTTTAAAGAATCTAAATTTATACCGCAGTAAGCACACCTCTCAGCATTAAAAAATGTGTAAAGGAAATAAATATAAATAGTGAAAAATGAAATAAACGATTCTCTCCATTTTCTCCCATCCGTTTCTCTCTCCATTTTAATAAAGCCAAAGCAAAAATTTACATATGACCCATGACACCAACGCTCAGCAGGAGTCAAATAGAGATGTTAGTGTATTCATCTACATATAAATGACAGACTGCTGATTCTACTGGGGTTTAAAAGAACATAGAATGCTTAAAAGAAGAATTATAACAGATGCAAAGATCAGGCATCTTCCATGACAGCAAGCATAGAAGGAATTTAGAGACAGGAGTAAAAGGAAAGCCATAATACCTCAGGCTCTTTATTTCTTGAGATCCTTCAGCATTTTTATTTTTAAGACTTCTACATGTCGTAGCAATGTGGTAGCCCTCACACCACAGCATTCTTGAGTAAAGCTGCATACTGGTGTCCTCGTATTTGTGAATCTAACCAGGTTACCAAAGCTCATCACTTCTGAACCATTATCAGCCAGGAGCATACATAGAGGGCATATTAGTACACAGTCACCTTGAAACCTGAATGAACTTCAGATCCAAAAAGGAGACAACTCACTGATCCTAATCCAGAAACAAAAGTACGCAAGCCACTGTTTTTGCACAGTTATAGTGGTCTCAAGCAGGTCTACACAAACTTCTGATAAGAAACCTGTTGGAGAGCTGCATAGGGGAGAGGGACCTGGGGGTTCTAGTGGACAGCAGGATGCCCATGAGCCAGCAATGTGCCCTCGTGGCCAAGAAGGCCAACGGCTTCCTGGGGTGTATTAGAAGGGGAGTAGCTAGTAGGTCAAGAGGGGTCCTCCTGCCCCTCTACTCTGCCCTGGTGAGGCCACATCTGGACTATTGTGTCCAGTTCTGGGCCCCTCAGCTCAAGAGAGACAGGGAACTGCTTGAGAGAGTCCAGCGCAGAGTCACAGAGATGATGAAGGGAGTGGAACATCTCCGTGATGAGGAAAGGCTGAAGGAGCTGGGTCTCTTTAGCTTGGAGAAGAGGAGGCTGAGGGGTGACCTCGTAAATGTTTATAAATCTGTAAAGGTGAGTGTCAGGAGGATGGAGTCAGGCTCTTCTCAACGATGTCCAATGACAGGCCAAGGGGCAATGGGTGCAAGCTGGAACATAGGAGGTTCCACGAAACATTAGGAAAAACCTTTTCCTTGTGAGGGTGACAGAGCACTGGCACAGGCTGCCCAGGGAGACTGTGGAGCCTACTCTGGAGACTTTCAAATCCTGCCTGGACGCGTTCCTGTGTGACCGACTCTAGGTGATCCTGCTTTGGCAATGGGTTGGACTAGATGATCTTTAGAGATCCCTTCCAACCCCTGACATTCTGTGATTCTGTGATTGAGGTGCATTCTATAGCTTTTCAAATAATCAAGTGTGAAACAGCTCATGTGTTTCCCAAATGATAATTTTCAAGTCAGTCAATCAAGGCAAGGAATATGTATAAGTGAACAGGAAATTGTATACTGATTCACTATCTTCCTTACACCTAGACCTGCACCTTTTTAGTGGATTATTGTCAGAGCAGTTTTCAGTGTGGGAAAGTATTTGTTTCACCAGTATAGTTTGAATTTGGCAGTGTTTTCCTACAAGTCAGAAAAGGCAGGACAGAATAAAGCTCAGGAAATACAGTGCCTCACAATTCCCAAACCAGTTTAATACCCACTTATTAGTAGTTACATTTAGATGATGTTTCCTGCCTTGATGATGCCGTTACCCATGGAAGGGTCAAATGTCTTACTGGAGAAACATGATATCTGCTGTTTCTTTTTTATCTCCAAAGTCTACTATTCTGTTAAAGGAACATTAGACTGGATGGACATGACTGTACTTTTACAAACCTACCTATTCCCTCTTACTTGCTTAAAATTGCTCATATGTCCAGGAAACTGCTAGAATATACGAACAAAGCTGCTAACTGGTCTATCACTTCCCAGGTCCTCCATCTTAGTTTCTTTACAGTATATGTGTGCCTGCTCATTCTCCACACTTCCCAGTTTCCATATGCTTCTGTCCAGTTTTGAAGATCAAAGACTTCATGATTTATCACAGCTGATCCCTTATAAGCCTTCCTAAGGAAAATGAGGACACAATTCCTTTAAGGAACTTCCAACCTCCTTGAACTCTTTTCTCCCTTAAATAGGTTTTAATATACACATATTTCACTCTGAGTACTGAAATTTTAGGTCCCACACCAGCTTACATCCAGCAACTTAAATAAAACTTACAAAGCTTTTGAAAATACTTTCCAAATATTCTTCATTGTTTTCTTTTCAAATAAGGCAGCTTAAAGAAGTTGATTTTTTCTCTGTTGACAGCAATCACTTCCATCACACATTAAATCTTGAGCAGGATGTCAGACTAGATGACATCCTGAGGTTCTCTTACATCTTGATTTATCCTATGATACCACAAACTAGGAGTCTGTTTCACCAAAGTCAAGCAACAGTCAAGGCAATAAACAGTCATTTTAAAAATAAGAAACTTTTCACTTTTATGTTAGAATCTTTCACTTCTCCACTAAAACTTCCGTGCAACACAAATCAGAAGCATGCTAAAAATAGGTGGTCTTTTGTAACATGCCTTGCTCAAAATGAAAACACAAACTTGATCCCAATACACTGATGGGGAAGCAAAAAATAATGCCCTACTTCCTCAACAGTTAAGTGTTCTTTTACAATGGAAATACTTCTCTTTTTTTTGTAGAAATAAAGCACAGTGCTAGCACACCAAAGGTTTAGAACAATTATCAAACAATTTATTGGGCACTAATGAAATAACATGGGGGGAACTTTTCTGAACAACACTTCTGAAGAATCTGACACCATACATAAAAAAATAATTGGTAGGAAGTTTTCAGACACAACTATTCTTCTGTTAAATTGTATACATTAAGAACTTCAGTCTGGCTCCTCACAGACTCCTATCCTTTTTGACGAAACTCAGTTATAAAAGCTTTGGAAATACTGTACATCTACCAAGTGCTACAATCATGTTTTTCCTGCAGATGAAAGGTAACAGTAGTGTGCCATTGTTTCCGTGAAGGCTTAAAGGCTCAAATTCTAGAATTAATAGCTTTGGGAAAAAAATCAAGGAAAAAACTCTACAAAACAAAAAAGCCAAGGCAAAACGCACTTACAGTGTTGGCAAGTTCTAAGTAGCTCCCTCCAACAGAGTTGCTAAAATTTGACGTCTGAGCTAGGAGTCTTCGCAGAGCAGTCTGTTGAGTCACTTTGCTTCCATCATATTGCAACACCTTTTGTAGTGTAAAATGACTCTGAAGGTCTGGACTCTGAAGGTCTCTTGCTCCTGAATCATACTCGCAGCTTTCTCTGGCTCCTGATAAGGCACCTAAAATGCAGAAATTGAAGAACATTCTAGTACAGACTATATAAAGAACACATATAATCACAGAATATCTCAGTTTGGAAGGGACCCATAACGATCGTCATTGAGTCCAACTCCTAGCTCCTTGCAGGACTACCTAAAACCAAACCATATGACCAAGAGCATCATCTAGATGCTCCTTTAACTCTGACAAGCTTGGTGCCATGACCACTTCCCTGCAGTGCCTGTTCTAGTGATCGACCACCCTCTCGGTGAGCAACATTCTTCTAATTTCCAATCTGAACTTCCCCTAGCACAGCTCCATCCCATTTCCTCATATCCTGTCACTGGTCACCAGAGAGAGGAGATGAGCACCTTTACCCCCTTGAGGGAATTGAAGACTGTGATGAGATCGCCCCTCAGCCTTCTCTTTTCCAAGCTGAACAAACCAAGTGACCTCAGCTGCTCCTCACAAGTCTTACCCTCAAGGCCTTTCACCAACTTGACTGTCCTCCTCTGAACAAATTCCCACAGTTTGATGTCCTGCCCAAAACTGCACACAGTACTCGAGATGGAGCCTCATCACTGCAATACAGAGTGGTACAATCATCTCCCTCGCCTGTCAAGCTACGCAGCGCTTGATGCACCCAAGGACACGGGCTGACCCTTTTGGCTGCTAGGGCATACTGTTGACACATGAATAAGCCTGTTTGTCCTTCCAGAATGAAAAAAACTGAACAGTTCCACTACCATTATTCCCCATCCTGCACATGCTGACAATGCCAGGAAAAGAAAAAGCAATAACATTTTCAGTGCACATATCATTTACTAAATTACAAGATCCAGAAGCAAAAATAAAAGCATTTACATACATTACTCAGTATAGAGTAAAAGCAGTATAATTTACAATAGTGAAGGACCATTGCATGAGAATCCATTACTATGTCAGACTGAAGAGCAGCACTGAGCAAAGAACAAAAAAGGAAAAGACGTAATTCACCTCTTCACTGAATACCAACATAGTTAAGTGAAATTTAGCTCCACAGTTCAACACCTTTTATGTTAGCATTGCCTTTCATATTTTCTGAGGAATGCTTGTTTCAGTTCAAGTTTCAGAGACACATCAATCACAAGGTGTTTCATTATGAATCAATGCAAGAATATGATCATGTAGCTACTGACAAACGATGAATGCTTCAGAGCAAGTTTCAGTATCCTGAAACTGCGAGGTTGGTGCTTCTGTATGTAGAATCCTCCCAATTCCCGGCAGTCAGAGATGAGTTTAAACTCTAAATCAAATTTTAACAGAATTTTCTTATTTTATCACTACTTCATCCCTGGGCACTTCTGCTCCATACAACTGTCTGACTCCTTCTAAAATCTTGTTAGTTTTTAGGTTCAACAATTTCCTATCATAAAACATTCCACAGTAGACAGTACATTGCTTAATAACCCTTGACGGCACTGTAAGATTTCATACCTAGCATAACGAATATTAAAAACATTTAAGTGACTTGTCCAAGCACACATCCTAAGTTAATAGAAAAGTCAGAACAGAATCCAGAGCTACAGACTAGAGCAGAACTCTAAATCCAGCATGCAGTCGTCAAACTCTAAGTAATTGTCTGTAATGTCATCCTATTATTTTGAAAGCTTTTCCTTTTTATGAGCTAGCTCTCTCTCAAATATTCATTAGCATTCTAAGTGAGCATTTACTAATCAGTGGTCATTACTTATTCAGTACAATGCCAGGGAGAAACAACAAACTATATAATGAACTATTAGGAGAATTCCTCCCGCTTGCCAAGAGTCGAAGCTCCAAAAGTGCAAACAGAAAGCCAGCCAGCAGCGAAGCAAGTCAGCAACTGATTTGTAGCTTTAGGTCAACACCCTAACATCCTCCAAAGCAGTTATGCATGACAAGCCGAATTAGGAAAACCAGAAGCGGTTTCCCTGCCTTACTGTGAGGAGAATATGTTAGTCTTTATTTATATATAAGTAGAAAATAACACAAAACTAAAAAGAATTGAATTTTATACTAACATAATTACCATGATTCATTACCATAGGTACAGGAATTAAAGATTAATTCCATTGCTATTACAGCAAGAGAATGCACCACCGTACTTAATCTAGCTACATGCTGCAAGGTCTCCAATAGAGCTAAACTAAGATGTTGCTATTAGGAGTATTTTATACAGTGTGTGCTGTGCTGAGTGTTAGGTATCTCTGCCCTCTTGTGGCTGCAGCACATGGTAGAGCAAAAAAAAACCCACAGCAAAACAATAACAAAAACAAAACCATAAAAAACTAGAAACACAATCAACCAACTAAAACCCAGCATCCACAGAGCCGGAGCTGCAGAAATGTCTCAGGAGCCTCAGGAAGACAGGGAAACTCCCAGGCTTGACAAGAACACAGGAAACATCTCTACTTGCACAATCACAGCCACAGAACTAAGAGATCTGGCTATATCAGATAGATATTCCTCCTTTTACAGAGCTAAAAATGGCACATATTTCAACAGAGTAAGTGCACATAATTTCTACTACTCAAATGACATTGTTCTGCAAAAGAGTTTTCACACTCATTCAGTTAAAAACTGTAGCTTTGTTGAAGACCCAAGTGGCCTTCATAGCTCGTACCATCTGCTGTCAGATTTGAAGCACTGCCAAGTTCCGAGCCAGCTGAGATTTCAGCTGGCTCAGAAGCCACCTGTCAGTCACAGATGGATTCAGACAAGATTGGGGTTTTATGACTGCATTGTGGCTGTCTTTTTAATTCAAGTTTTCTTAAAGTTCAACTCTGTACTCCTACTTCAAAGTATGCATGCTGAAAATGCACGGAGAGATGACTGTTACAAAGGAAGGCATTCCCAATACTTTATTTTGGGCTTAACCCTAATCTCTAAACTTGTCCACTATCTTCCCAACAGATTCCAAAACACTAGCCCTTAAGATGCTGACCTTCCAGGTACTGCACCTTTCAAGTCTCAGCTCTGTAGAGAAATTCTGGAGTTGTCAAAGCTGAGATTTCAATTGTAAGTGAAAATTCAGTCAGGAATTATCAGACAACCTAAACCTTGCCTGAAATATTGTCCTGGGTTTTTACTTTCCAGTTTAGTCTCTTCTAAAAGGCTGCACTTTCTGAAGTCAGTAGCAGGTTTTTGCAGACAGTGTTGTGCTACTGGCAGTGATAACACTTGATGTTTGCAGTCACTGCCTGGCACTGGGATGCAGAAAGGCTCTTGCTGATACTTATTCCTACAGTGACCAAGGCCACTGCTGGCTCTTGTGTGCCACGCTGGGGGTGCCGGGTAGTAAGAGGGGTCACAAGGAAGTAAAAGGTTGCACCTCTGGGGGGTAACAGACAAGACAGGTGACCAACGAGAGTATTCCATTCCATATATGTCATATTTAGTATAAATTGAGTGATCACGAGAGTTTCGGCCCTTTTCTGCAATGGCCGGTGTCCAGGGAGGACTCCATCCGACCTCCTGGTTTTGATCCGGATCCTGAGTTCCCGAATCCAGCTCCCTGTATCCAGCTCCTGGCTGAGGCTTCCCCAGTGCCTCCTGCTCTGCAGCACTAGTGGTGATTGTATCGGGGGAGGGAGTCAGGTTTGATATTGGGCTACTATCTATACTTCTATATAGTTCTTTACTATTTCACCATTATTTCTATTGTTTCATTAAAGCTGTTCTAGTTTTTTTCTTCTCTAACCCGTAAGTCTCTCTGCCTCATTCCCTCTTCCTTCCCATTTAGGAGGGGGAAGAGGTCGTTGGAGAGCATCTGTCTGTGTTAGTGGCTGGCCCAGCCCTAACCTGGTTTTTGTTCTCTAGTTAGCCCCAGCTCTTATTTACTTACTTACAGTTTACAATTATTTAAACTTTGACATACCAAGGACAGTTTAGTTTGAGACACATACATATACACATACAAGATTCCATGACCACAGACAAAATTTCAGCTGGTGAATGGCACCAAACCGTTTAAAGCAACTTGACAAGTATCACCACGATAGTATACCCTGCCCATCTGCACTGAAGCTTCTTGCTAGCTTAATCTTCCTTTATCACCTGCAAAGCCCTCAGTAACAGCACATAGGTCTGTGTTCTGCTACTGGTGTCATCTCATACTGCTGATCTGAAAAAAAACCACCAATATTTCACCTTTCTACTGACAGTTAACCTCCCTAGAATGCCTGTACTCTGCAACAGAGAAGCAGATACCTACCGTAACTAAAAGTCTAGGCTTTTTTGTTTGGTAACATTACCAGGCTATGCTGGCAGGCCAAGCATTATGTGATTTCATCTTTGCCCACAGAGTTGGAAAGATAACCCCATCCAGATGGCAGGGTCCTGAAGATGTTTTAGTTGTCGAAAGGATCTGGGATATCAGAAAAAGTGAGGTACTGTAACATGAGCCCTGCATCAGCTTCTCAAATGAATCTGGCTTATGAATGGTAAACGTGGAAGTCAATTGACAATGTAACACACTACAAGCACAAACCAGCCTCTAGGTCTCACAGCTACACATCAGTCAGTGAGGAGAGTCTTAACTGCAGAAAGCTAAAAAGTCTGATCACTGTTTCCATATGGTATCAGTGACCTTTAGTTACTTAAACTTCTTTGAGGAATTCTGACATTTAATACAGAATATAATTTATATGTGCACTGTGCACAGCTTGCAGCTTCTGGGAGAAATTCATTCATACGACGATTTTGCTGCCGAGGAGACAAAGACTTAAGCCCTTCCAGTTCAGTCTTAGCCTCTCATCTTAAAAGGTGTTTCAACAGGTCATGTTTTTGTAATCAGAAGCTGCATAATTTTTTTAAAACATTTTATTCATGCCTTACTACATATATACAACTCCTGGAAACACAGTCCATTTGATTCTATCACCTCATTTCACACAGCAGATCACTCAATAAGCATATCAGATGACAAAACAACATGAATGACATGGCAATAGAGCGAGAATAGAAACTGATCCTCACATATACAGGTGGGTGAGAATGTTTA